CCCCTGTCATACGTCTGAGAATCCCAGCGAGCCTCTGCTGACCACTGAAATAATAAAGCTAATTCCACAGTCGATATTTGTACACCTTAGCCATCACCAGCAAGTGATTAAAATCGAATGTCTCTGTAAATGCTGCTATACACATCTGTACACTTTTCTTAAGTGTTAAGATGCAGGGAAATGCCTGAGGATCTTGCAGGAGTGCAGATTCTGCTTCGGTAACTCTGGGTGGGCCTGCAAGTCCCCATGTGTGACCCAGTCAGAAGATGATGTGACAGCTGCAGGGAAACAGCCCTACCTTCGGCAGCAAGGCCTTAAACCATCACTTCTTACCTTGTTCAAGCCTGCTGGCATTTAAAAATATGTGCAGATAATTCTAGGTACATTATTCTACTTAAGATGCACACAATAGGAACTTTACAGTACTTGTTGAGAACTTATTACTTAGCAAATGTGAAATGATCTCCAAACACAAAAAGCCTCCTCCTCTCTTGCATCCCTAGAGCCTTGTGGACCCAAGCCACATAATAAAGGGCTGAAATAGCAAGTCAAAGAGAGGAGCTTGAGAATCAAAGAATTCAAGGAGAAAAAGAACAGTAAATCACATACTAAACAACTGTAATTCAGGAATAGAAGTAGAAGTCACTGAGCTGACTGTAAGCAACAACAACAACAAAAAACTCAGAAAATGATTTCTTAACATGCCAGGCAAACTCATGTACCGTGTAACAAAGAAAAAGCTTCACTTGTCATTACACAATGATTACAAAGAGCAAAATGGAATGAGAAAATTTAGAATGTGGAAAAATGCGAATTTACAGTTGATAGGAAAAAAAAAGCAAGACCCAGAAAACAAGGATTGAAGCAAGCTACAGATCCATGCGAGATCAAAACAAGCTACAACACCTTCTCTTTTGAGAAAATGAATCGTGCAGGCATTAAATTGAATTGCTAAATCACACCAGAACCTCTCAGACTTTAGGATGAACACCATGAAGCACTCTATGAAGAAAGTTATGGGCAATGCAGCAGAGGTTTTGTCAGAAATCTCATAGGATGCCAGTAAATTACTTAGGTCTACATGTCTGAGGCAGCCTTCCTCAAATGAGACATGTGACAGACACAGGAAGGCAATCCTCATGCCGGCCCTCCCGTCTGAGATGCCGGATTATGCTATCTGCAAACTCTGTGCACTCCTGTGTGCCAGGAATGGCAACTGGCCGACACCGGCTGCGGGCCTCCTCCTCCCGTCGTGATAATGACATCTACAACAGGTACAGCGTTGAAAGATAACTGTGGAGCTCAATAACTCACTTCTGGCAGCTCTATTTCTTCTTTAATTAACATCTCTTCTGAGCCGGAGAGACGACTGCCTTGCAGAAAGCAGGTTCCTGATAAGCTCACCCTGACAGTGACAGAGAAACAGGAACGCTGGGCTGAGGGATTGAGGTTGGGTAACAGGACAGCTATTGCTCACACTGGCTGTCCAACAGGCCCAGCGCGGTATTCCTTCAGTAAAAAAGGGTCACCATCAAAGTCAGCTCTGAGTCACAGCTAGATGGGGGACAAGCTCTTTTGCAGGGCTCCAGCACCACCTGAGAACCCCTATACTGTGCAAACACTTGATAGCAGCCACTCCCGGGTCCCCACTTCCTGCACTGGCCTTTGAGGGAACTCTCCTCTATGCTTAAAATCAATCGCTAGCTAAATAAAATTTCAAAGCCAAGTGCATTTCTTCCAGGAAGAATAGTTTAGTCTTTGGAGCTGATCTACATTTCTACAGGTTGCTGAAAAAACACTTAGAAGAAATATAAAATCACTACTGTGTTTAGAGGCCAATGCCAATTAGCAAGTCTCCATCATTAAAGCTGGAGTCCTGGAACTGACCCAGTGGTACACGGAGAACTTTACACTGTAACACTTACCAGGCACTGAACGCCTAGTCCATCAGATCCCTACACTAATAGTGCATTTCTGGTTGATCAGGCTTCATTTAACTAATGCAAAATGCACAGCTGTGAGGTAACTCGCACAGCCACAGCGCTTAAATGAACCATAACTGATTTTTAAATTCAGCTTTTTGAAACTAATACTGTCATCAGATTCTCAGTATGCACACCACAGACCCCTCACCCAGTGAATTGTATCTAATTGCTTCTTTGCCAGGCCCACCCACACTCTGAAAGTCACCCTGGCCCAGGACAAGAAGGAAAGACTCAGGTTCAGGATCAAACTCTATTTCATGCTCTGTGTTTGTTTCACACTCCATTTCCGCTCTCTGTTACTGTGACAAAATACTTGAGATAGTCAATGAAAAGGAGAAAAGGTTTCTTTTGGCTCAGTTGCAAAGTTTTTGGTTCATGGGCATTTGGCTCTGTTGCCTTGGGGCTTGTTGCAACCCAGGACATCAAAGCCAGAGCACATGGGAGAGGAGAACTGTTCACCTCGGGACCACCATGAAGCAAAGAGAGAGAGGAAGGGGGTGTGGCCCTAATGTCCCTTCAAGCCCATGCCCCCAATGACCCAATGACCTCCACTCAGCCTCACCTCTTAAAGGTGTCACCACCCAACAACACCAGAGGTTGGTGACCAAGCCTTTAACATGTGGGACTTGGGGGACACTCCAAACAGAAACTACAGCAGGGCCGAGTCACTCTGTGGATGCAACCCCACCTGCTCCCTTCGATTTGGACACCACGGGGCCCCTGGGCCCTGCTTTGATTGCCCTGTCATTACTTCGTCTCAGTTTCCTTCCCTGGCTGACCTCTCAGCCTCTGCTTTTTTCTCAGGACGAATGTGCAGACTGCCTAGACTGCAACTGCATGGTGGGCTTTTCTTGCAATCTCAGCTCAAAGAGAATCCAGTGTGCTGGAAAGAGCCAGGGCCTCTGTGCCCGAAGAATGCATTTCCAACTCACCTCTCTCACCTCCTGCCAAAGCCCCCAGGAAAGGCCCTTAAATGTAATTTCTCATCATTTATGAATGAAAAGATTTTTCCATTTAGGATTTTTGTGGTGAAATATATAGTAGAAGCCACTCAACTACTGTCAATATACAGAACACACTCACACTCTGGCTGGAGCGAAGTGTAATACAACCTGGTAAATTAGGTCGGAGAATCCGAGGCCTTATTATAATGTGCTTTGAACTCAAACTCAGGAGGCTACAGGCGTGGAATCACATGGAGCATGAGTGTAACAGAATTAGAACTGTGCTTCAGATAAATTTAAATTAAGGAGTGACTGAAGAGGAACCAAATGCAGATATTAAATCCAGTTTGGTACAAGGTAACTCATGCAAAAAATAAGGTTAAAAAAGAGAGAGGGCCAATTTTATATATTAAAAACATAACTGCTAAGATTTGATAAATTTGTGAATATGGAGATCAAAGAAAATGGAAAGGGGAGAAACAGGTTAAAAGACAGTGCTACTAGACAGGCATGGTGGTGCATGTCCGTAACACCAACACTTTACAAGACCGAGGCAGGGAGATCCTACATTTGGGTACAGACTGGACAACTCAACGACTAGCAAGACCCTATCTCAAAATAAACGCAAAAGGGCTGGGGATACAACTCAGAGTGAAGGCCTTGGATTCGATCCCCAGTGTACTCACACAGGCAGGCAGGCAGGCAGGAGGAGAGGGGGAGGGAGAGGGGAAGAAGGGGGCAGAAAATGCTACCGGAAGACTTAGAGAACCCCAAAAAGGGATTACATTAGAAAAGAATCAAGTTTGAGTTTCTAGCAGGGCATTTGGACTTTTTATTTTGGTTCCAAACATACAGGAAAATCTTTAAATTTTAGAGCACCCCTGGCCATGGCATAGGTACTGGGTCACTTATCTCCTGAGCGACAGTCGGGGGCCTCATGCACATGCATCGCATACATTTCCGGTGGAATGTGAGTGCCCAGCAGGCTGTCATGGGAGGCAGGACTGGCCCTGTGGAGTGAACACAGGATAGCAAATGAGAGAGCTACGTGGACGCCTGTCACTCTCCGACTGCTTGAACTCTCTTGTCCCTTCTGTGCAGAAGTCTTCAGAGTGGGTTTGCACAAGAAGCCAAGTTTACCGCTGACTACAAAAGCCATAGAGGCCAGTTACTCCCTATCCTCGCTCTTGGCAGATAAGACACGGACAGGTGTCCTGTGCTCAGCCAAACAGATGTTTCTACAAAACAGACATCTGAGCCTGTGAAGCAAAGACGGGGCAGCTGAGCGCTCAGCTCACAGCCCCAGATTTCTCGGGCCACTTCTGCAACATGACCCATCTCCCTTGATTTCTGCCATATTTTTGGTCTACTTTTCTATGCTTTGGTTCAGTTTTCAAAGCTATTCCATGTCCTTCCAAGAAACCAAAGTTGTTTTTTACTTGAATCAGCTACGGCTGGCTTCACTGCCACAGAACTTCAAGAAGTCTCTTCTGTAATCAATGCCTTCTGTGCATAAGAAGGCGCACTGAACAGTAGTGAATAGCCAGAGCTCCAGAACAGGACTGCCCTGGGTCTGTCTCCAAGCTCTGCTCCACACCAGCTGTATGACCTTGGGCAACCCACTAACACCTGGTGTCTCACTTTCCCATCTGCAAACAAGAGTGCGGACGCTGACAGAGGCTGAGGCAGTGCTGCGGAGATAAAGGAGAAAATGTCAAGTGCTTAGCACTGAGCCTGGCAAACAGTCAGCATAACTATCATGCTGATGAGAACTGTAGTACGGGTGTCCCTTAAATGAGCCAGGATCGCTTCTTTTCTCACTTCGGAATCCCCATGAAGAGGAGGCACACATATTAAATATGCTGCAGGTAGGAAAGAATGGCACAGCACAGGTGTGTGTTACACAAACTGAGTCTAAAACCGGTTATCAAATCAATTTACAAAATGTTCTTTTTTAAACCAGCTATATCTATGCCCTGAAATGGTAGGACGTACTCAGAGGCCATGGAAAAGCTTCAGAGTTGACTTAAGAACTCTCAAGAGGCTAAGATTAAAAGAGCAAATTATTTTAGAATGAGGCAGACAAAAGTTGGAAGGCCAGTTAATTTTCCCCTCCTTCGCCTGCTTCAGCTTCATCTCCCTGGGTATCCGATGTCCACAATGTCAAGTTGTCTCTCAGTAATTGCATTATTAGCGTGCTGTCCTTGTATGACTCTTCACTTAATGTATCAAGTTCAGCAATGGCTTCATCAAAAGCTGTCTTTGCCAGAGAACAGGCTTTCTCTGGAGAGTTCAGAATCTCGTAATAGAAGACGGAGAAGTTAAGGGCCAGACCCAATCTGATAGGATGTGTTGGTTGCATTTCCTTTTTGCTGATTTCAAAAGCTTCTTGGTATGCTTGTTGTGACTGGTCCACAATCCCTTTCTTGTCATCACCAGCAGCAACCTCAGCCAAGTAACGGTAGTAGTCTCCTTTCATTTTCAAATAAAAGACTTTGCTCTCTGCTTGTGAAGCATTGGGGATTAAGAATTTTTCCAAAAGAGACAGCACATCGTTGCAGATATCCCTTAGCTCAGTCTCAATTTTCTCTCTGTATTCTCGAGCCATCTGCTGCTTTTTCTCAGCACCTTCCGTCTTTTGCTCGATACTTGAGACAACCCTCCAAGATGACCTACGGGCTCCTACAACATTTTTACAAGCAACAGAGAGAAGATTCCTCTCCTCATTAGATAATTCAGCGCCTTGCTCAATTACAGACTTCATGCAGGCTGCCATGTCATCGTATCGCTCAGCCTGCTCGGCCAGTTTGGCCTTCTGCACCAGCTCGTTTTTATCCATGCCTGGATATTCTGTGCCCCGGGTGGGTGGCGGCGGACGGACAGGCGAAGCGGTCTCTGGGCCCAACTTTTGTCTGCCTCATTCTAAAATTTACACAGTAGACCATTTGTCATCCATGCTGTCCCACAAATAGTTTTTTTCTTTACGGTTTATGACAGGTTTATGTTACTTCTATTTGAATTTCTATATTTCCCATGTGGTTTTATGTTTAATATTAGGGGAGTAGAGCCAGTTAATATTTAGGGAGTTATCTGTTTTCATCTTGAGATGGCCAATATGGGGAAGTGGAATTTTTATACAAGTTACAAATGTTTGGCATTGTACTTTTGGTACATTGTGGCTTCACAGGGGCCAGTGTTGAAACTGCTTCCATGTCTAAGCAAAGAAAACTGCCTACATATTGGTCTGTCCTGGTGGGGAATAAAAGGGATCATTGGTTCCAGACACAGGTGTAGTTATTGTGGGTACTTTAAGGTTTGGAGCACCTCTGAGGCTGTGGTAGAAACACATACCCGTGGGTCTCATGTGGAGCCCCGTGTTTCCGGGGAGTAAGCAGTCTCAGCACGCTCCTGTGACCGCAGCTGCGGGGTGTTCTTCAGACAAAGTTGCTACCCATTTACTCTGGATAAGGGCAGAAACGGTTCACATTCCATTATTTGTAAAGTTACCTGCTGTTTGCTTTCATTATTTTTGCTACACATTTTATTTGTATTTAAATGTTTTAGGCAACCTAAGAACAAATGTAAAAGTAAAGATGCAGTAAAAATGAATTGCTTGGTATTCATTACTTCATGTATATCAAGTGTAGCAGTAAACAAACAAAAAACCCATGTATTTAACTTTTTTAGGTTTTTTGCTTTGGTGATTTTTTTTTCTTTTTTTTTTTGATACTTGCCTAACATGCATGTGCTGTAAAAATAGTTAACAGGGAAATAACTTGAGATGATGGCTAGCTTTGTTTAATGTCTTTAAGAAATTTTCATGAACAATCTGAGCATAATTGTTAAGAACATATGTATTAAGTTCATGTAAGTGGAATAAAAGTTTTATGAATGGAAAAAAAAAAAAGAGCAAATTAGCAAAGGGCATTTATTTCTAACATGGACTGTGTCGGGATTCTGAAGCTCTCTCCGGGACCCCGCGTCTGTCTCAGGACCCCCCTAGACAAATGGAGATCCCAGACTTGGTAAAATCAAGAGCCTCCCAGAGGGAACATGGAGATGAACCCCCAGGATGAGGAGATCTCTGAGGTCCAGGAAAATTCTCACCCAAGGAGCAGGTGGTGCTGTAGACATCTCAGACCTGATCTCCAGCAAAAGTCTGGATCACGTACTTTCTAAAATCTAGACAAGAGCTGTGTGTGTGGTGTCACACCTATCGACTCATCCTTCATATTATCTATTGCAGTTCTTAGAGGGAGGCAACGACAGGATCATTTAGCCCAACAACTTTCGGGGATTTGATTTCATTTTTCCTCTCTAAGCTTACTGAAAAGATCAGTGTGTCCTGTGGCTCTGCAGTGCCACATCTGAAGTAAGCCAAGAGTCGCCATGGGAAAGTCAGTTTCTGGGCGTTCTTCTACTCTCCTGGTTGTCGGGTCTGTTCCAGTCCCAGTGCACTGTCTCAGCTGTTGTGCTTATACTCTTAGTCTCGTTACCTGGAGGTTCCTTCCCTCTCATCTTGTTCTTCTGAGTCCCTCAGCTCTTCTCAGCTCTCTATTTTTATACACTTTGGAATCAACTGGCCAAATTCTACCAAAGGGGAAAACCTGCTGGGGATTACTGTCTGGGTTACACTAAACTTAGAGGTCCACAGGGGGAAGCATCAGCATCTTTAGTGAAAAAAGAGTGAACAGGTCTCGGCAGGCTGCAGGAGGCTATCCAACACGAAACTAAATTCTGAGTTTTGGCTGTGACTGGAAACTTGGGATCCTATTTACCGAAATAAGTTGGTCTGTGAAATACCTGGAATGAGACTTATTATCGTAATCAGAAAAGACAAAAACTACTCAATAGTAGTCAAGGTGTGGGAAGAAGTGCCTTTTCTGGATACACTTTAAAGGTACGCGAAGAGACATAACTAAGGCTGCATTTTATGCCATAAGCCGTGATACTTGTCTGACTTCCCAGTGCTATCACTCAGTACTGGTGTGCACTCTTCTGGGACACATACATATATTTTGTTGGATATATAATGAACCTTCTGTTGAATATATTCACGGTTACCTTCTTTTATATTTGCACAGTGTTTAATACTGGGATTCAGGATGCTTCTGAGTTTCTATGCTAATCTTGCACACCACACAGAAATCATCCAATCAGTAATGAGCTGGTGTATTTCCTACACAGATGGTATACTGATGAGCTCCATCTCTCCTCTTCCAGGACTTTCGGGGCTCCTGTCCCACGAGGGTGGGGGGCATCATATTCCTAGCTTTGAAGCCCACAGAAGAACTGGTGCAGTCTTTGGTCACCTGGCTTTGTCAAATCCTTGGACTCTTGGGCCTCCAAAAGATCAGGTGGGCCAGAGATTTAGCTCAGTGGCATAGCACCTGCGTGGCAAGCATGTGGTCCTGAGTTTGATCCTTGGTACAAAAAAAAAAAAAAAAAAAAAAAAAACAGGGCTTAGGCTCCAATTGCCATTTAAAAATTTTTATCTCATTTTTGCTTCAGAGAGGAAAGTGAATAATTTTGGTTTTGTATTTTAATATTTACCTGCCATGATGTCTTTATAAAGAAGGGAACTAATTCATCAAGAGTAAAACAATCTTTGCTGCCTTGTCAGAAGTTAGTGTAAACTTCCTTCATACCTTGACTACAGGAAAGGAGCTAAAAAAGGCACAATATAAAAAAAAAAGTCTAAAGTTTTAATCAATCATAATGCAAATCATAAACAATTATTTTACCTATTTTATCTAAATAGCAACATTTAAAGTCCATCTTTTTACATATCCTATTGGAGATATAACATAACTATATTTTGTCTTTATATTCTAGAGCCAAGCACACAATAATGCTAAAGACTCAGTTTATATATAACTATAATTTGTCAATTTAAATTTTAAAAATGGAAATATTTTAAAGGCTCCTCTTTGGGTACTATTTATCTTAGGGCAAGCCACATGACTTCCAGGGCCTCATTTTTTACATCAGACAAATTATGTTATAATGGCAATGTTTTCAAATTAAACACAAGAACGTATAAGCTGGAAGGAAACAATTAGAGTGAAAGATCTTACACTGTTCAGAGTACAAGTGCTGATTTGTTTGAGACTTAAAGTTTGATATGCATATTAAAATAGGCCATGTGGTTACAAATGGAATAGGCATGGAAAATAAAACGTTCAAGATAATAGAGGGCACAATGGAATGGGGAAAAGGACAGAGGGGGCGGAGAGGGAGAGAGACATCTCAGTAAGTCCAGCAGCGGCGCCCTCATCTCATCTTTATGCCTCTCCACCTGGCTCTGTACCCTTCATGCCCAGCCCCGTATGGACCACATCCCAAGGCTCCCTTGATCTCCAGACTCCTTCAGCCAATAGGAGGCCAAGTACGGAGCAAACAAGCAGAGGAGGAGAGTGAAATCAGGGTACTCTGGCTCCCTCCTCTCCAAGTTACCAGCTGCTATTGCCTGGTTTCAGCCCTGCAGTAGGTTGAATTATGTCCTGCAGTAAGGAATGTTCCAGTTCTAACCCCCAATCACTAAAAATAAGACCCTGTACGGAAATAAGAGTATTTGCAAACATAATCAGGATAAGAGGATGATGAACTGAATTGGGTGGGTTCTCAATCCGATGGCTGGGTGACTCTGTAAGAGAACAGGAGCTCTTTCTTTGTAAGAGAAACACAACGGAATCACTGAGACGAAAGCCACGTGACCATCAAGGCAGTCTGCAAGTGTGGCCATGAGCCACTGAGGGTCACCAGAAGAAGCTAGGCAGAATGTGCACAAAATTATATTTGTATATAAAATTCAAAAGATTCCAAGTTTTACAGCATATGGTCTAGAGGTGTATATTTGAACTGTAAACTGTATGCAAATGATCAATGTAAAATTCAGGATTGTAGCTATGGAGATGGAACACAAGCAATTTCTAAGATGTTTCTTCAGCCAGGAAAAGGGTAGATGACTATTCTTTATGTGACAATGTATTTAATAGTACTTATACATTTTTATTCATTCTGGTAAAGATGATATATTTGATGATGTCATCACAAATAAAATTATAATATTCAAAAGATAGCTGACATAGTTGATATAATTAGTCACAAGTCATGTTGATAGACTGTGCCCCTAATGTGACAAAAAAGTGCTTTTTTTCCGACACTGTCATCATGTTGCCCAGGATGGTCCCACACTCTTAGACTCAAATGCCCCTCCTGTCTCAGCCTCTGTACTTTCTGGGACTATCGGTGTGTGCCACTGTGCCTAGCAATAATAATATTTATGCCTATCGTATTTCTCCTCCAAACTTCATAAACCTAGTGTAATCATGACAAAATTACAAGACAAACACAAATTTAAGAGCATTCTATAAAATACCAGGCCAGTACTCATTAAAATGATCAAGGGCATCAATACCAAGGCAAGTCTGAAAGACTGTCCCAGAGCAGAGTCAAGGAAACTATGGTTCCTAAAGAGATTTAGCATCCTGAATAGGGTCCTGAATAGGAATAGAAAAGTATAGGAAGCAAAACTAGTAAAATGCAAGTATGCGTGGTGCTCAGTTAACAAAAATGCACCAAAGTGGGATTGTTAGTTTGAGCAAATGGCCCTCAGTAATGTAAGATGTTAACAAGGAAACTGGGTGAGACGTGTACAGGAAATCTGTTCTAGCCTTGCAACTGTTCTGTGAATCTAAAAATCTTCTAAAGTTTAAAAAAATTATTTAACAAGTATTAGAAACAAAAATAAGGTTAACTTTTTAAAGACTGACCAGAAAAGTCAGCTAATGGGCCAAAATAACACTTAAAATTTTTAAGAATTACAGTGTTAATATTCCTTTAGAAATAATAACTACATCTGACAAAATACAAACGGTAATGATTTTTTTTCTTTTTATTGAGTTTATTGGTACAA